ACACAATGGGATTCCATGTGTAACATTCCAGTGTGTATCTCTAAAAGAATAAAAGTAATAACCCAAGAGCACAGAAAGGACTGCATGCCTGACCTAGATGGGTCTTTGGTCTGCTGGAAGCAACAAGGATGAAGCGTAGAGAGCATCCATCCCCTGCCCCAGGCAGGGACTGGGCTTCACCCCATCCAAACCTAACCCAGTGTAGGCCTCCACTGTCACTGTCGAGTGAGCTCCCTTCCTGAGGGGTGAGGGTTGGGGCTAGCATTTAATACTGGAAGTGAGGCTCAATATGGATCCCCCACTAGTTATCCTTTTCTTTGACACCAAGTGATGTTTCATTTGAAAAACTTCTATACATATAGTTCTGTTTCGAAATTACGGGGAAAACAGAATGTAATCTTGTTATCTACCTTGAGGCATCATTGGCAATGCTGGCTCTTACACGTTAGGCTATGACATACCTGAAGAGCTCCTTGGATGGTGACGGGACTTGCTTGTTCTCTAAAATTTAACACAGCAAGGAACACCCCACCTCTGGCAGCACTCAATTCTTAAAGGTTCTCCACTCTTCCTCCTTTTTCCTAATTTCTTCTTATTCTACAAAGTCAGTAACTCAGGAGGAACTCCAACTTCATTTTCTGTTGTTCCACATATAACACCTTGAATTAAATTAGTTCCCTTTTCTTTGTAACTGGAAGTTGGAACATTATGACTGTTTTAAAATTAGATCCATTGCTGTGAGTGATACTGAACATCAACATTGCAAGCCCAAGTTATAACACACACCTGCACTTAAAAAGCAAGATCAGGGCTGGGAAGATAGCTCAGTGGAATAAGTGCTTGCCTGGCAAACACAAGGTCCTGAGTTCGATCCCTGGTAGTACCAAAAAAAAAAAAAAAAAAAAAAGCAAGATCAGTGTTCAGTCTAAAACTCAGTAGGGAGCACTGAGGAGCAAAGGGTGATGCTAAGAAGGCTGGGAGATGGGGTGCACCAAGGTGGTGAAAAGAAGAAAGAAGTGTGCTGCACGTCTCTTCTTGTAAGCCTGTGGTGCATTGACTACTGGTGGTCAACTTGTAACACCCAGCTGAACTGAACCAGCATGGATCTGGGTCTGGAGAGCCCCGCTGAGGATTGCTGCTGGCAGCATAAGGACAGAACTGGAGAAGAGAGAGTGAAGGAAGCTGTTAGCTCTCTTGAGGAGCTTGTCGTGCTCACTTTTCTGATGAACCCAGCTTTTGTCATTGTCAAAGGAGCTCAGGATCTTACTATTACTGAGGATGACTAGGGTTCACTCTGGGGGAGCTCTGGTCCTCACTGTGCGCACTGCTTTGTGGCTCTGGAGGGTAAGATGGTGCACAGCTCAGTCTTCTAGAGAAGCTTGACTGTTGGCTTTCCTGAGAGGAACTCAGCTGCCCTTGTTGTCCTAGGAGCTCACGACCTCACTGTTGAGGAGGACGCCTGTGGTACTTGTGGAGGGAGCTCTGGTCCTTACTTTGAGCCTCACTTCCTGGCTCCAGTGCAGATCCCTCAGCCTGCTGGCACAGATCCTTCATCCCACTGGCACAGAATTTCTAGTTTCTACCATTGACCTTTGGGCCTTCCCAGGACAGAGCCATAAAGTGGGCCGACATGAGACATTGCTGTGGGCTCTAGGCCTCCAGTTAGTCTTGTGGGAAACATTGTTATGAGCTCAAGGTCTTCAGCTGGATTCCTGTAGGACATTGCCATGGGATCCAGGCCCTCAGCTACATTCTTTGGTCTTTAGTGTGCGGACAGATTTTCTGCATTCTTCATGTATGATTCTTGGGTTATTCATTATAAAATAATCTTCTAAAATATGCATCCTGAATTGTATTTTTTTTGTTCATAAACCCCAAACTACAACACATCCAAAGGTACCTTGTTAGGAGCTGGGAATGTAGCTCAGTGGAAGAGCACTTGCCTAAATTACCTTGTGAGCAATAATTGCCTCCCTTGGAGAAGATAATAGACTCAGGTGGATGCAGTGTAAAGGTGCTGGAACCCCAGTATTATCTTCACAAACATTTCTATACACCTTTCATTTCAGAAAGCATGCAGCTGTCTTGGAATAACTCTGGAATTCACGATATGATCTCGGTGGTCTCACCTATAGTCTCTGAAGGAAGTCCCAACAGGTTCTGTTCCAAGACCAGAGATAAGATCAGGGTTAAGCCTTCCCTGTCCAGCCCTAGCTCCTCAGAAGGATTCAGGTAGCCAGCATTGCTATCCACAGATGCAGAGTCCTGCAGTCGGGCGATAGCACCCTGGGGGAGCAGCTTCCCTTCTGCTCCTTTCTGCCTGCAGAAGGCTCTCCTGCCCCGTCTGTGAGGACTGCCTGCCCTCCAGCACCAGCACTCACCCCACTGATGGTCCCTCGCACAACTGCAGTCCCTGTTGACCGTTATGGTGGAAGATGGGGGAGTGAAGTAGCTTTGTAACCATCTTCTGCAACTCTTTCTCCCATTTAAGAAGGGGAAGAAAGAGATGAGTGAAACTCACAACCCTGTCTTTGATTATTATTGTCTCCATCCCTGCCTTCTTCTAGGAGGAAGGTTCAGGAAAATGCAACACTTACTTTAATGTGAAGCAGCAAATATTTACTAAATGTGAATGAATGCACGAATGCATGAATGAATGAATGAATGAATGATGCTGCTCAACAGCCTTCACTCTTCCTCACTAATGGGACAACTCTACTAAGAACTTGACAAGGATGATTGCATAAGAGGAAAACCCCAGAACTCATTTCCTCTTCTGGCTTCAAGATTCTTTCTCATTAACAACAACAAAAAAATCAGTTTATGACTTTATTGTACTCCACTTTATAATTTTAGTGCCTCTAAAACCATGTGAAAAAAAATTTGTAAAATGCTAGGATGAATCATGGGCCAGGAAGAGATGACCTAGTTTGATCTGATTTAAAGGAGATATGAAAAGATGGAACGCAGCTCAAAATGCTTGTCTTCCTCATTCACACGGTGATGCACCATCCTCGTTAGGCTTAGTTATCTCTTGCCAGATTGCTCCTCACTGAGGGGAGAAAGGAAAAGGGAGAGGCATTAGTTGAATTCAGCATGAGCCCCCACGGAGAGGGGAAAACCAGAGACTGAGGCAGGCTGTGCTGTGGAGGGTAGAGGAGACCAGAGAGCCTGAGGCACTCCAAGGAGGTCCAATGGGGAGCCACCCAAAAGGGGGACCAGAAAGAATGTGAGAAACTCCACCTTTTTGAACAACGGCCAGTGTCCCTGTATGCGTAACTGCCGAGCACATTACTCAAAATCAGCCTAGTATGGTCCCTGGCAGCCTCTTTTTCCTTAAGGCAAGGTGAGTTGTTTTGCTGTTATGCAGGCTTCCTAGAGGAGATAGAGGACTTCAACTCCGTGGAGGAAGATTTTTAGCCATCATCACAGAAAAGCGTTTCAGGATGGACCAGTGAAAGACACAGACGGTTTATTAGGAAGAATAGGAAAGCGCACTCAGAAAAAGTGCAGGCTCTTGGGAAATGAGGTGCACTGTGTCTTTGTGTTAGGAGTGTTTGTGTGGCCTTGGGGTACCCTGGAGACAGGTGAGCTGGGATATTTATTTCTTTGAGTTGTTTGTCATTTACCTAGTGTCTGTTTGTTTAACATCAGGTTACTCAGTAGTGGACTGAACAAAAACTGGCTTTAGGAGAATCCAGGAAAAAAGGTGGAAAAGCCATTGCAACTTTAAAATTGCATTCTCCTTGCCTCTTGTCTACATATTTCTCCCATCCTGTGTTGGTTTCAGCCACTCACCTTTGTGCTGTTTCCATCGCATCTGCCTTCCCCTGCCTTCTGGGTCTGCCAGCTGACCTCTGAGGACACAAGCTTTATGCACACACTGACTTATGGCAACTGTTTTTTTTTAAGTGATTACACTTTTATATGAATGATAAAATAATACAGCAAAATTAATTTGTAGTTGTTTGTCAAGGAAACATTTGCTATTAGTCAAGCAAGAAGGGGTAATCAGCTTGAGTATTTTCTTTCTTTCTTTCATTTTTTTTTCTTGTACTGGGAATTGAACTCAGGACCTTCTGCTTGCCAGGCAAGTGCTTGTGCCACTGAGCTATATTCCCAGTCTGTATTTCTTTATTTTTGACTATGTGCCTACTTTGACTTATGAACCATATGCTTATAAGGTGAAAACCCCTTCATAACCTCATTATACAGTATGAGAACACTCTTGGGCATCTTTTGAGTGAATCTTTCTATGGTGAAGATTTAAAATTCTTAGAGTCAATGAAAACATTAATTTTCATTAGCATTAATGAAAACAAAACGGCTGCTATTCATATACCCTGCAAAACTTTGGCTCTTTTAAACTGTTTTTATTTTAAGAATTCTACATAGGTGCCAACCTATACAAAGAACAGACTGTAACTGTCAAGCACTAGAAGAAAAAAATAACTTACTCAACTTCCTAAGTTTCAATACCAAAAAAGATTAAACTTGGCTTAAAGTCCCAAAACAGCTAAGACATCAAACCAGGAAGTTGTGATTGATATTCAAATGTTGATACACCATTAAAAGCTATTATAGTTGTGCTAAAAGAAGATTTCAAGCCCAATTCCCCTGTAATTCATGAAAATGAGTATATCAATACTATTATACTTTTATATGCACCAATACCTCTCTTTAATAGGTAAAGCCCTACATTACAGATACTTCTAGTTATTTTACAATTAAATTAAAATACACCTGTAATTCTTCTATACTACTTTGGTCTCAATCATTTTAAAAACATCAGTGAATTTTGAAAATATACAGCTTAAGGATCCCCTAAATAGGAAGAACATTTTGCAGTGAACTAAACGCACAGCCAGGCATCCATCATTGAAAAAGCATTCAGCACCTAAACGATAAAGACCAGTGCTGACCTTGCATCTTTCCCAGTTCCCTCTTCTCAGAAGAGCTTGAAAGGAGCTCCTGTTGCCTGGCCAGTTGCACTTGTGACCATGGTACTTGAGCATTGCTTTCTGGGCTTCCTCCTCGGCCTCCTTCCGACTGGCGGAGTAGGTAAGTGCCTTGTTTCTTTTTAACAACCACAGCTTTGTCTTGGAGTCTGATCAAGAGACTGCTAGAAATGACATTGATGCTTTGATGGGCTGGGTAAAATTCTAGCTTTTTGAGGTCATTAAATGCTAAGGCCAGACACAGAGTCAGTTCCCATCTATAGCCTGAATAACTCCACATGTATTTAGTGAACACCTGCTAGAGAGGAGACAGACTTTGGGGTGCAAGAATAAGTGTGCGCTGTCTCTCTCACTTTAGAATTTCTTCTGCTTTGCAGAGATTCTGCCATAGAAATTATAAGCATGGGCCCCTACACCCCTACTCAGTCTAGATCTCAACTCAGTCACTTACTAACTTGGAAAATTTGTGCAGTTTCTTGAACAACCTGTGTCTCAATTTCCTCATCTGTAGAATGGAGATTGTGGGTCACTGAAGATTCAGTGGATGACAGTTTATGCCCAGGGCCTAGAACAGTGTCTTGTGTACAACAGGGATGTGCCCAAGCTGTGGGAATTTGCTCTTGGTGTCTGCAGAGAGCTCTTCAGGGGCACAGAGTGTCTTGTCATGACACTGCTCTGAGCACAGCCGATGGGATCTCAAGTTGACAGGCTTAACTAAATTCCCACAACCACAGAGCATGCCAGTGACTGATGCACAAAAGTCTTTCCAGCCCCTAACTTCTAGAAATCTGTGAAAAGAGGTTATGTGCCTGATCCTCTGTAGTAATGACACATTTAACAAAACATGCCAGGATCTTGCTTGGCCTGTCACCTTGGGCAACACAAGCAATTTCTTTGGGGCTAACTAACACACAATTTCTCAGCTTCCCCAACCCAAAAATACAGCAATGAAGCGGTCTACCTTACCTGTTGGTGGTGGAAGCTAAATACTTTGACAAGAATGATCGAAGTGCCTGTCATATGTTGAATATTCATATTTGTTCACTGTTCAGCAAATGCCAGCCAGAAGAGGGAAGAGAGGTGGAGGGGGAGGAGGAGAAAGGATAATCTCAGCTTCTGATAGCTCTGCCTCTTCCATTAGCTCCGCTCTCTGAGACTTTGCTCTTGATTTTCTACATTTGATAAGAGGCAGTTTTGGTGTCAGTCAGTCTCAGCTTTAAAAAAATCTGCTTCACTATTTGCTGCTGGGCAAGTTCCTTCACTGCTCCAAGGCTTAGGATTTAGTCTGTAGGAGGAAGCTGTGAGCACACCTTTCCCACACATGAGCTCAACAAATCCAGTCAGTGAATAAAAATGTCCCTCAGAGAGTACATTGGTGAGAGTAGCAATGAAATTGTTACAAAAATGAGACAAGAAATCCAAAGGCAGACAGATAAAGAGCCTACAGGCGTCTATCTTCAGGTTAGCCAATCAGCTAACCTGAAGGTCCTCAGGAAATTGCCTGTCATCTCCTGAGGAGCTTGGAAATTTTTATGTCCTAAATATAATTACTTGGGTAGCGATGGGCGGGGGTTGGAAAAGTCAACTGTGGCAGTAGATTCTTTCTAACTACACCCCACCATTTGGCTCACCACAGGAGGCCCCCAAATGCAAACAAACAAACAAACAAAACAGCAGTGATAACACAGTTTGGCAGGTAAGGACAGCTACCTGAGGAAACTGCCCCATTATTATAAAAAAACCTTTCTTTTTCTGTATTTTAGGGAAAGGTCTACAGAGTGTTCAGGGTCTCACTACTAGATCAGACTTGTAGTGATGCTCCTGTTTACAGCCTCCCAGATGCTGGGATTACACGTACTTGCCACCATGAGCAGTCTCAATTGCCCTCTCAGCGAGCCCCAGGGGCGGGGCCGGCACAGTAGGTCCCAGGATCTTACCCCGCCCCCCATTCCTGTCCCCTGTGCCCACTTGCAGGTGCTTTAATCCACTAGCTGTTTGGCCAGCCCTAATTATGAAAGTTACTGAGATAGTGAGCACAGAAGTATTCCCTTTCTCTCAGTTGCATTGTATTTGAGCAAAGATGTAAAGAGGTAAGGGAAATGGGCCCTGTGCAAATCCAGAGTGAAAAATCTAGGGGAAGATTAGCTCAGGGAAATGGTGAGGGTGATGCAGAGCACCTAAGCCTGGGTCACTGGTGCCACAGGAGAGCAAGAAAGGAGACAGCTCTGGAGGAGAAAGGAGCGAGGCACCAGAAGAGGAAGGGGAGAAAACGGAGATGCTTCTTGTTTCCTTCTCCTTCCAATAAAATATTGTTACAAGTTTCTTGGTGCCCTAACAGTCAACACAGGTGGGGGCCCCTGTGTCACATGATTTGAGGAAGAAGTCACAACCATTCCAGTGGAAAGCCTTCCCCCTGCTGCCAGGACCACTGTCCAGAGCTCTGGGCCCCAGAGAGGTCTTGGACAGTTGCTGCATCCCTTTGGGCCGATTCATCTGAGCAATCCTGCTAGGGTACTGGGCCAGGAGGCAAGGAGTGGGCTCGGTCAGTACGGAGGGGACTGAGAAGCCAGAATGCCCTGAAGCCAGAACTAGAGATCAACAAGAGCCAGATAATGAAGGAACAGAGTCTTGGGGCCAAATCGATCCCAGGCAAGTTTTTCCTCAGACTGGTGGCCTCATAGCCTCCTAGATAGGAGGACAGGGGATCTTGGTGTGGCTCTTTCATCTGGGTCATTGTATCCCGTCCCTATCTGGGAAAGAACTAAGGGCAATATTCTTCCAATCAGATTTATTTCCTTAGGGCATGGGTTGAGAGGACATCACATGTGTTTTTGTCATCTGGAACTCTTCACTCTAAAACTTCACCCTGGGCTGGAGATGTAACTCCAAGGTACAGCAAGACTTGCCTAGCACACGCAAGGGCCTTGGTTCCACTCCCAGTACCACAAAATCAATCAGTCAATCAGAATGAAACTGATGTCCTTGAAAATCATCATCACATGGAAGAGTCAAAAATGTTTGCTTCCTGGGCTTCCCTTCCACTTCCTACACTTAGAGCAAGTGCTTCCAGAAATCTTTTTTTTTTTTTTTTTGCGGGGGATGGGGGGCAGAACTGGGGATTGAACTCAAGCCCTTGCGCTTGCCAGGGAAGCACTTATTCCAGTAGCCATCTCCCCAGCCCCTCAAGAAATCTTGGTGCAAGTACTGCATTGAAAACTACTGCTGGGCTGGGGACCTAGCTCAGTAGAATAAGCACTTACCTGGCAAGCGCAAGGACCTGAGTTCAATCCTTGGCTCCAAAAAAAGAAAAGAAAAGAAAACTACTGCCAATATCAGTGGTGCATGTTGTCATGTTCCATGTCCTTCCTTCTCACTGTTCTAGGAACTCAGCCAACTCACAACTCTCTGAAGCCCCAGAGGGTGCGATTTCAGTCGCAAAACTTTCATAATGTTTTGCTCTGGCAGCCTGGGCAAGCACTTGCCACCAACAGGAGCATCTATTTTGTGCAGTACAAAGTGTAAGTAAATTGAGCTTTCTCCTGGTGACCAGAAAGGCTGCAGGATGACAACTTCTGGAACACAATAGAGTACTAGTAGCTGAGCTTTCCTCAGAGGTGTTTTAGAAGAATGGAGAAAGAGTAGAGACAGAGACAGATGTGATTTGATTTCCCAAAATGTTGGCTCTTGAAACACTCAAGGATACAGTCTTGAGTACATTGACATGCTTGAGGACCAAACCCTTCAGTCATAGGAAAGCAGAGACCTTTGGCTCTGGCACCTTTTGTGCCTGGCACATGGTGAGTTCTCAGGACACATTTGCCAAACGAATGGTGGAAGTGCCTTGCTTGACACACACCAATACTATTCACAGCTGAAGTGAACTTATACCAACCCTGAGTATACCAAATGTGCTTCTAACCTGACAATCATTTTCAGAATAGCATTCCTGTTTATATAATGCTTTCTAAATGTTAATGACTCTGGGAGACATGAACGCACACTGGGATGTGTTTCTGCGTGCTGCCTGTGGGGATCCTCACGCTACCCCTGCAGGACTGATGCCAATACTCAGCTATACCTGCCTCTCCCTGGACTGAAGCTTGGAAATGCACTCTGCTGATTGGAAAGCAGTAGGCTTTTCTACGTTGCCTTCCCTGGGTTCTGAGAGGATCTGCCTACCTTGATTTCATTTGATGTGTTGGTTGAACACAACACAGGAAGTATTGCCACTTAGTTTTTATACTTTTTTATTAGAAATTTTAAACCCAGAGATATACATGAGGCAAAGTAGTGATTTTTGTCTTGTGCCCCTCCAACATGAAGTAGATCTTAGTTCAGATTTTCTTATTAATCCAGGAAGATTAGCCCCAGAAGTTTCTTGGCCTTTAATTATCCTTACTTTTCTCTGCACATTTTGTTTAGCAAATGTAAAACTCACACATCTTTATAATAAAGGGTTCTTCATTAGAAAAAAAATAGATTTGTGCTTAGCTAGAAATCCCTCAGTATAGAGGAAGTGGACGTCAATACTCTTTATACATCCCCTCTGGCAGCCTGATGGGTCCAAAATACCTATTTGTGGGCAAAGTGATGAGGGGAATAGAGGCTGTTTTATGATAAAGATTAAACTTCAGGACCCCACTGAAACATTTTAAATTTATAATTTGTTTCCTTTAAAAAGGATCCCAATAGCTATCTAGTTTTCAGATCTCAATACCTGGAGCCATTGCTTTCTATGGTATTTTGAGTCCAACCAGCTCTATAATTATGAAAACTTTCACTCTGGTTATTCCTGGTTCTTATCAGTATAAAGTTAACAGGTTGGATAGGACCAAAACCTGAGGTAGCGTATTAAAAGGGAAGTCAGTGATGACAGCGCAAATTCAGTTCACAAAGGCAGTCATCACTAAATAATTGAAAGTCACCCAGTGGTGTCCAGTATGCTGTTGGCTCTGCTTTAGCCCTGATATAATGTCACTGCTGGCATGGTACAGATCATGGACAATGAGGCCAGACCTATTCCTCATGGTACGGTTCCAAGACTAGATTTCAAGTCCTTCAACAGCAGAAAGAGCCATTCTCCCAGCCTCCAGATCCTGTGCTGCTCCCTGTTCTCACCTTATTGCTTTTGCTTGGATTTGTGGCTGAAAAGTGAAGTCTGAGTCTTCTCTTTGGCTCTTGCCCCGTCCTGTGGCCTCAGCAGCACGCTGCCTGCTTCTTTGCCACATCACTTACTGCACAACGTTGCCCCCTCTCTCCCAGGCCCTAAAGGACAGGGCTCCCTACGGCACCTGCACCACGACTTTCCACTTAATTTTCCATAAAGAGATGAGTCATGTGGATTCAGTAATCATCACCTAGGAGGACAAAGAGTAGCAACTTCTCAGAATCAATCACATTGCTCAATAGGAAGCTGATGAGAACTGGAGGAAAACCACAGAGTCAAAACCTCAGAAGCATTAAGGATGAATATTTTAAAATGGAAGTCAGACCATGTACCAGAAGGATCACATCAACAAGTGTGAACAAAATCAAAGGCCTGGGGCTGGCAAGATAGCTCAGGGATCCAAAGCACCTGTTTAGGTGAGCTTAGGCAGGCACAGCAAACCAAGGTTTGATCCCCAGCACCACATGCCGCACCAGCCCCACCTCCAGGGCAGGCTGACCTGGCCAAAAACAAACAAACAAACAAATACATTAATGATACAGAAGGTGTCAGGGTTGGATTGATCTTTTAGTTAGCTAGCACTTTGGTTAATGAGCCAGAAATCTTCAAACTTTTTGAATATTGAAGATTGTAATAGGTGGCACTGATATGACTGTGTAGATTTCAACTTGTCTAAAGAATGAACACATTGAAAAATCTGAAAATTCTCTCAGCACAGAAAAGAAACAGACTTTGTGTTTTTGCTTTCTTTAGGTATGGTGAGAGTGAGTGGAAAAGTAAAGAGGAGTGTTGGGGCACTCAGGAACTCTTTTGTGACCTCACAAATGAAACCTCGGAGCTGCAGGAGCCCTATTATGGGAGGGTGAGGACGAGCCACTCGGGCTGGAGCACGACTTCCCGCTTCATCCCCTGGTGGGAAAGTGCGTGAGTTCCATGGGGTCCTTTGTCTTTTCTCTTCCTACTGTTGAGCTGCCTCACAGAGCCAGACTGTGGGCCTTGCTGGTTTAAAAATGTTTTACTGATATAAATCACACTTCTGGGCCAGTGAGATAGCTCAGCAGGCTAAGTGCCTACTTAGGCAAGCTCAGGGACAGGGTTTGATTCCTAGCACCACATGCTGAGCCAGCCTCACCCTGGGCACGCTGAGCCGGCCACAGAGACCTGACATGGTGGTGCATGTCTGTAACCCCAGGCTGGGGAGGCTGAAAACAGGAGGATCACTATGAATCCAAAATGTGTAGTGAGACCCTGTACCAAATACATATGTACCAAATACATAAATAAATCACACTTCTTACAATGTACTCATACGACTTGTAAAGTTCAACAGTGAACTTATAAGTCATGTGAGCATCACCCACAGTCAACTTTAGAACACTTTTGTCACCTTGAAAAGATACTGCATACCCTGTGGTTGTCATTTTCCACTCCCAACTGCCCCTGCATCCCCAGATCTCCCTGTGTGCACAGCTCCCTGTTCTCGATGGAATCGTATGTGGTCTTTGGAGCCTGGCATCTTTTATTAGCCTAGTGTTTTCAAGGTTTGTCTGTGGTTGTAGCCCATGCCAATACTTCCTTCTCTTACATGGCCAAGTGATCTCCCATTATGTGGGTGTTCTACCCATCAAGTCAGAACAGTCAGAGATTTTGGCTCAGGTGAGGGGCAGCGTTGGTTCAATCCTCCTATGATAATTGGGACAGCATTAAGAGTCAGCATGTTTTTACATCACCGTCCCCTCTATAAGACAGAAAAAGCCTTAGGCAGTGTTCTATAAGAAGGCTTCTGTTTGCCAGTGCCTCATGAGTATGAGATTTAGAAATAAAGTTCAGGGCTTGGGAGCTAGCTCAGTGGTCTAAGTGCCTGCCTGGCAATCACAAGGACCCAGGTTCAATTCCTGGTACCACATGCTGTGCCAGCCATTGGAACTCTGGGTGTACCTCGACAGCCTCTGAAACTGGGCATGGTGGTACATGCCTGTAATCCCAGTGCTGGGGAGGCTGAGACAGGAGGATCACTGTGAGTATGAACTGCATAGCAAGACTCTCTACCAAATAAATAAATAAATAAATAATTTAGTTCATAAACCAGTTGAAATTGGAGCTCCTCCTATAGGAGCTGTTGTGAGGACGCTCCGTGAGGACGCTCCCCACTCCGCTGTCCCAGTACCCTCCGGGGTAGTGCCCTTTTCCAATAACTTCTGAGGTGGTTTTATTTTTTAAACAGGGTCTTGCTATGTAGTGCAGGCTTTTTTTGAACTCCCTTATGAAGTGCAGGCTCAACTTGAACTCAAGACCCTCTTGCTTCATCCTCCCAAGTGCTAGGACTACAGACATCCACCAGAATGCCCAATTTCTTGAGGCTTTTTAAAATGTTTTTAGTACAGGGTCTACAGGGTCTCACTATACAGATAAGACTTGTAGTGATCCTCCTGTTTTCAGCCTCCCAAGCCCTGAAATTGTAGGCGTGCACCACCATGCCCAATTTCAATCGCCATCTCAGCAAGCCCTGGGGGTAGAGCCAACAGGGTTTGTCGTGCTGGGGATCAAACCCTAGTCCCTGCGCTCTGCCTAAGCAGGAACCTAAGTCTGCTGAGCTATCTGGCCAACCCAGCCTGAGGTTTTTTTGAAAAACCTGTTTGAAAAATAGGCTTCTAGGATCTCAGGACAGCATGATCCTAGAGTCTGCCATATGAACTAGTGAGCTAATGAACCACCTATCTGCTTGGGCTCACTGGAAATTCATTGCTCAGAACAGGATCTTATTTTACACAAAGAAGTTCTGGTTCCTGGTGTCTATGTAGAGATGAAGCAAGATTTCAAATAACAAAAAAATCTTAAGTGCAAGGCAGAATTGGATTCTTTGTAATTTCAACATTATCTGAACCTAGACTTTCCTATATTAAATATAGATATGGACGTTTAGAATAAGACCAAAATTCTAATGGAGTGGGCTATATAGTCAAATTAAAGAATCACCTTGCCTCTATTCATTCGGCAATTATTTCTGAGGCAGTTACTATGTTCCTGGCATTTTGTGAGGTCTTAGAGAAAACAGAGCAAGTATAGCAGACCTAAAGAAGTCTCTTTCTTCCTTAGGCTTTCTTTTTAATAGGGAAGACATATCAATGAAAGAATCACACGTGCATAAAATGATATTTGTGATAATTGGTGGAAAAGAGAGTGGCAGTGCCACAAGAGCCTGGCCACATAGGGAGGTGGCTAGTGCTATGAGGAAAAGCATCCTTGTGAAAGTGACATTTGAGAGAATAGCTGTAGATAAAAAGGGGCTAATTGGACAGAGAGTAGAGCAGAGCATTCCAAGAGAAGGAAATGGCACCTGCAAAGATGCAGGACTGGAGGGAGCATAGTGAGTCAAGGACTAGACACAGCTGGTACGGTGAGATATAGCCCGCAAGGAGGTAGGACAGAGGGAGGGGAGACTGGAAAGGTAGGCTGAGGTGAGGATTTTCTGTGCAGGAATTATGATTTCCTCTAAGAAATAAGTAACTTTGGGAAGTTAGGCAGTTAGGGAAATTGAACTCTGAGTCTTGCTCATGCTAGCCAAGAAGTCTACTGTGAGCAATACCCCATCCCCCAAAACGCAATTCGAATTGGGGACCACATGATCAGACTTATGTATTAAAAAGGTCACATTGTTTATATTTGGGGAGACAGGATGTAAGCTGGATGCAAGGTTTGTGTCTAGATGTCCCTTAAGGCCTCATGCGATCATAGAGGTTTTCTCAGAAGTAGCTGAATCTAGCGTATGTGATAGATTTATGGTTCAATGCTAGGATTAAAGGTGCTGTGATGAAGGGTGAGTGCCCTGAGTCAATCCACTGACTGGATGGGCACTGCCCTAGTCCCAGTAGCCTGGATATGATAAAGGAGAAGAAATAGACTTGCCTCCCACTTCTGTCTCTTGTTGCTTTTGCTGTCTTCTGCTTGCCATGAATTACTATCTTCTGGAAAGCCACCCTGCCTTGGAGCCAGACAATTATGGCCAGAAACCTCTACAGACTGGGAGCTAAGCAAACCTTTTCCCCTTTAACTTGGGGTGTTGGGTATTTTGTCTCAGCTATAAGTAACTAAGAAACAAGCAAGTGATATTGTTAAGTGTCCACAGAATACAGACCAGCTTCAGCTAGGAAAATGAAAAGCACTATGGAAAGTTTAGCATTGGAGGGCTATTTTATAAATAAAAAATGCAGGACTCAATAACAGTCTAGATATAAGGGAGAAGAACATGTCTAAGATGATCTTTAAATGTCTTTCTTACTTAACTAGAAAAAATATTGAGATGCTTTTGATGGAATTTCACACGAAAAAGACTAGTTTGGTGAAATAGAGGCTAATTAAGATTCTGAATTCAGTTCAGATGAGTTCAAATGTTGAGTTTGTGTTTTGAGAAGCAGGGTATGGAGATACATACCTTTAATCTTAGCACTCAGAAGGCTGAGGTAGAAGGACTGCCACAAATTCAAGACCAGCCCATACCACATGCTGAGTTCAAAGTCAGCATGAGCTACACATTGAGACCCTATATCTATCTAAATCAATCAATCAAAACAAAGATGTGCATCTATAACCTGAAAATCACAATGAATACGAAACAATACAATAATTTTAGAAAACCATATTTAGCAATGTTACCATAAATCTGGGATCAATGAGAGTTTCTTTTTTTTTTTTTGCATTCGACTTTATTTGTAGAATCCCACATAAATGCAACGTCATTGCATTTTTATCATGCAAACATCTTTAAAGAGAATAAAAATAGTAAAAAAAATATTAGGAATGATACAGAATTTCACTAAACAAAATAATTGCAATTCAATAATGGTTGTCATATTGCATAATGTCTTCAAATTAGTTTTTTAGATTACCAGATATAAACATATGACTTTGGTCAAAAAAGTTACAAGAAATTAAAAAGGAGAAGGAAAAAAAATTAAGCATTAATTCTACCTTTCAATAGGCCAGCAGAATCGGTACTACAATTATTCAAGGATAATCATACTTAGTAAAGATCTGGTTATTGGGAATAAAACGCATGAACCAGAATTCTCTCACTTTGTAATAATTTATCTTTTTTAATTTTTTTGGGGGGGGAGAAGGGTCTACAGGGTGTTCAGGATCTCACTACTAGATCAGATTCATAATGAGCCACCTGTTTACAGCCTCCCAAGAGCTAGGATTACAGGCATGCGCCACCATGCCCAGTCTCAATTGCCATGTCAGGGCACCCTGGGGGTGGGGCCGGCACGGCACACCGGGGGATCAAACCCCTGGCCCCTGCATCTGCTTATAGGACCTAAGCTGCTGAGCTATTTGGAATTTATTTTTATTTTTTATTTTTATTTTATTTTATTTTATTTTATTTTATTTTATTTTTTTTGCGGTACCGGGGATTAAACTCAGGACCCTGCACTTGCCAGGCAAGCTCTTTTTCTACTGAGCTATCTCCCTGACCTGCTGAGCTATTTGGCCAGCCCATAATAATTTATCATGATGCATCGTGCGTCCATGGGTCATATCTCATTTTTTGAATGGTTTGTCAAAATTTCCTATTCTTTCTCTAGCAAAAATAGAGCCTCCAGTCATCAATATCACCAGAGTTAATGGATCGCTGTCAGTGGTTATCCGTGCTCCAGATTTGCCATATAGACACCAAAAGGGAAAAATGACATCAGTGGAAAATTACTATGAACTAGAATACCGAGTTTTTATAATTAAAAATTCACTAAAAATGGTAAGTTCAGATAATTTTTTTCCTTTTGTTAAATGCCAAAATATTTTAATCATATTGTATATCCTCTCTTCTCCACTCTATCTCCTCTTATTTTATTCCCTCCATCTTGTTTTGTTGTTCTTTACTTTTCACCCTTGCTGATGAACAGTGGTGCTTGGATCACCATCTAAGCTTGTGTGTCCTTACGTGTGTGTTGTGTGTGTGTCAGTGTGCACATGTGTGTGCCTTTGCGTCCTTTTGATCACTCCACTTGCCTCCACCTGGTCTTCCCTGTATATCTAGAAACTGATAATAACAGTATCGCACTCCACTTGACTGCCACCAACATTCCTTCATGGGGTTTACACATCATTTCATTTAGTAGCTTTTGAATCACAGCACTATGTGTTTCTATTGTTTTGTGATGGAAATCGGTAATTTACTATTAGAAAATCCACCACCAGTGCCTTTGTCCAGGTCTAATGGTGACTTGACTGTTCTTTTCTGCTGCCCTTCTCAGACAGAGTTCCTTGGGCTGAAGGGAAGAGAAACATATTAACATTCCTTTCAAGTACAAAAGAGGAAAAGGGGGAAATTTTCATTTAGGTGCTAACAAGCAACCTCACAGACATCCAGAAACAGGAACCAGCAGCTTCTTGGCTTTATAAGCTTCAGAGGGTGAAGCAGGGAAGTGAGTTTCCTGGGTCGGTGGTATCTCTGTGGTCAAGCGTTGCACATCTAATTTATCTCTGCAAGTGTGCTCCTTCTTCTCACTGCACAGTGCAAGTTCTTGAAAAAGAAACACTCACCACGGGGTCATCATTCAACAGTGCTCATGGGGAAGCCGGGTAACCCTTACAGGGCCCTCAACCGTCCCTTTACTGGGTGTGGCCCAGGAGTGCAGAAGGAGGATGTGTCCAGAAGGGAACCTGACCACCCATCCACTCCCATGACCACCCGCTCTTTCTGACTTTAACAAAAATGGAGCCAGTCAGTGACCTCCTAGAAAAATGTACCATCTGATTTTTTTTTTTTTTTTTTTTTTTCCTTTTGTGCGCAGGAGAAGCAAGTCTACGAGGGGCCTCGCAGAGTTGTTGAAATTGAAGCTCTCATACCTCCCTCTGGCGCCTGCATCGTGGCCGAACTATACATGCCCAGGCTTTACCGAGGAAGCCCGAGAAGCGCAAAGAGATGCGTGGGAGGGGCATAAATTGGAACCCAGGTCTCCTGAGGATGAAAAGCCAAAGTTCTCCAGGAGGAGGAAAGCTTTATGTAGGAGGCTCTTACTGAAAGTCATTTTTCGATTTTCTTGAAGCAGTGATCACCCTTACCTTTGAGGGGCTTCTTTGTTTATCCGTTCTTTCTTCTTTTTCAAGTAACATGCCTGCTGATCTTTTTTTTTTAATTATTATTAGTGGTAGCACTTGAGTGTAGTGTATGATGTCAGTGTCCCTTGTGTGGGATCGGTCCCTGTATATAACGAATCCTATTCCTGCTTTCATCCCCTTTCCTTCTCTCTCCATCTTCTGATCCTTTCCCAGTCGAGAAAGATCTATCTCTGACTTCCTAGTATCTACCCTTTATCTTGCTCTTCATTTATATTTTGGATTTCTCATGTAAGAGGAAACCTGCAATAAGTTTGCGTGTTTGATTTATTTCACTTAAAACTATGGTTTCAAGGTGCATCCGATTTCCCATGAACAACTCAAGTTTATCCTTCTTATGGCAAGGTAGTGCATTGTGGGTAGATACTACGCATTTTCTTTACCTGTCCACCTGTCAGTGGGTATATAGGCTGCTTCCAATATTTAGCTACTATGGATTGTACTGCTTTAAACGTAGCGCTCTACTGTGACGTTATTCTTCATATTTCACTTGTAAACTAAATTTGAACAGTGTGCCTCAAAATTTAGAATTTTAGGAAGAGCCAGAGATTAAAACACTCTATGAAATAAGGAACTTTATTGCTGAATGTAATATCCTTAACAACATTCATTTTTCTAGGATAGCAAGATAAAAGTTAAGAACCGAAAACTAAGAGGAATTTAACTGAATGTTAAAATGATTTTTTAAAAGTATTAGTACAGTGGTACACGCCTACCCATGTTTACAGCAGGGGATGAGACATGGAAATTACAATGTGTTGTGTACATGTACCAACACCCCACAAAAATGTAATCGTTATGTATTACTAATGTGTACTAATAAAAATAAAGGCTGAAAAAATAAATCAAATATAGACTAAAAAATTGTCACACTAAGAAGAATATATGCAGTGTATTATTTGTTGAAACTATACTTTCGATTTGATTTGAAACTGTCTCATTGCTATATGTTTATCAATAAAACTTTGAAAAGAAAAAAAAATTGTCACAGACTGAATCATACAGCACTTATTTTTCACTCTGTTGAACCAGATATAATTATGCCAATTTAAAATCTAAAATAGGGGGCCAGAGAGATAGCTTGGCAGTCTAAGTGCCTACCTGGCAAGCATAAGGACCCAGATTCAATCCCCAGCACCTCATGCCATGCCAGCCCATGGAACCACAAGCCCACTGTGCAGACTACAGAAACTAGGTGTGTTAGTACACACCTATAATCCCAGCACTAGGGAGGCAGAGACAGGAGAATCACTAGGAGTCCAAGCTGCATAGCAAGACCCTGTACCAAATAAATAAATAAATAAATAGCTTTAAAATAAAACAAAATTTAAATATGAATGAATATTTTTCTGTGAATTTCTAATTTTTAATTTATATGAACATTTTTGTGTACTTACTTCCTACTATAAACTATTTCTACTTAAATTTTTTTAAAAAATTCAACCTTATATAAGTAAGAACACTGGGCCAGGGATATAGCTCAGAGGCACAGTACTTGCTGGCAAATGCAAGTTCCTGAGTTTGATTTCCAGTACCAAATATATAAATAAGAACATTAGTTGAGAAACAATTTTTCGTTATCTCTGGATTAATATCTTGATTAAGATTATCAACAATAACATGTAAGTATCAAATGAAGTCTAGTTAATATAATTTCCCTTCAGTTAGTACATACCCGTGTGAAGGTTTTCTTTTCTGCTTTTGCTTTTAATATCGCTTCATATGAATTTATCTGTAGTCTCCAAATGAGAGAAAAGGAGAAAAAAACCCTAAGTGCAAGTCTATACCCTACCAGTAATAATTACATGTAGACTGTAAATCTACACAAAGATTCAGATAATTTCTTCAATCTGAGTTAACACTGTCATAGAGGATGCCCTCCTGCTCTGGACTAAATCAGTCCTTGCATGTGCTTAAGGTTGGTGTCTTGAAAGAAGATGTAAAGCAGAACATTTTTCAAGTCCTTAGGAGAATTGCTCCAAAATGTGACCTAAAAGAATAGCTGGTGTTTCTGCTTATATACAATTATTACAATACATGGACTAAAAGTTACTCAGAAACACATGAGCTAGAGAATTATTTTCACAGCTTTCCATATAAATAAGACACTAAGTGGAAACAAGCCCTAAGATGGAAAAGTTAATTTTGGCAATAGTCTTAAATGATTCGTTTTCATTTTTTACTTTTGGCTTATACCTTTTGCCTTCTGTCCTTTGGGGTTGGGTGGGTGGTGAATTAGGAACAGCAGTGTGGGTGGTGAACGGGGATGTTGTGTGTCTGGCAACATCTGGTCTAGGAAGTCCAATGGCTCCAACGCCTGATTTAAAGAACAATTGGGTGTGCCGGGTAAAAGTTATTAGACAGCATTAAAATTTGGTTTTATTTGATTGGCTTTGCTTTCTTTCATGCTTAAACACTATTTCATACTGCATGAAAAGTGCTGATTGTCATATTTTTCGTCATGTTAGGATTATACTGTCACACTATCTTAATAAGCCTTCCTTGTTTTGTTGTCTTTCTGAGACAGGGTTCCACTATGCACTTTAGGCTGATCTTGAGCTCACTTTGTAGCCCAAGATGACCTTGAACTTCCAGCAATCCTCCTGACTCGGGTACTGGGATTATAAGTAGGAGCCCCTGACTCGGCCCGCGAGTCGAGACGTGGGGTAATGACCTGGAGGAGGAACGGGGATGAAAAAGACAGGGCAAGAGACACGAGAGACGGAGACAAGACAGGCTTTCTGATCAAGTCTCGTTTATTGAGGAAGTGAACAGGGTCTAAATAGCTATATAGTGGAAGCAGTTGGGTGGGACTAGTTGTGGATTGGTAGTGAAGATCCAGGACCAGAGGAAGATGTCGAGGCAAGCAGGGATTGGTGCTGCAGCACTTCTTGCCCAAATAAGGGAAAATATAACAGGAGCATTCTATCGCCCCCCACAAGCCCCCATACCCAGCTCAATACATTTTTTAGTTTTAAAATTTTGCTTTGTATTTTGAAATATTTGCTATTTGATCTCCTACGCAGCATACAATGTCCCTTAAGTCTTATCAGGTGAAATCCTACCTGGACATCTAAAGGCCACACTAAGTTACAGCCAAGAAGGGGCAAACGAGTGTTGAGCAGGATGCCAGGTACACATGCAGGGTGTCTGGTGACCAAATGACAGTGCCACTCTTATAGCTGCTTGGCCCAAAAGCTCTGGGACCACCTTTGCCTCCTTTCTCTGACATTGAGTTCAATGAGTCAATAAATTCTATCAGATCTTTGTCAAAGTATGAGCCTTCTCACAACCCTTGTGTTCTACACACCAGCATTTCCCACCTGAACAATGATCCCAGCCACCCTGATCTCCTGCTCCTCCCCCTCACTAGTTAAGTCTCAATATGGTAGCCAGGATGAGCCTTCAGGGCCACATCAGATTCTGTCACTTTGCCAAAGGCTTTCTGCCTCATAATGGTGAAAAGCAAAGGCCTCATAATGGCCTCCCTCCTCAGAACCCTGTAGTGTCCGTTTCCCATTCTCAGCTTCTTTCAGTCTTCGTGCTGTAATTCTCGCCTTCCTCACTGTGCACTGACACCATGGCTGGGCCTTCACACCAGCTGGTATCTGGAAGGCTGTATCCCCAGCACTGATACTTCAGTCATCCTTTGACTGAAAAGCACAACCTGCATCCTGTCCTCTCTGTATTCATTTTTCTCCAGAGTACTTTAGCTACCTCACATAACTGTGGTTTATCAATCGTGTTTATTGTTTGCCAAACTCCTGATCCTCCTGCCTCAGCCTCCCAAAAGCTGACAGGTGTGTGCCACCACCACAGTTGACAGTTATCCATTGATTTCAAACAAATTCAGAAATGCAGTTATTTCTTCATTTAAGGAAAAAAATAAAACATCATGAGAAAATGTCTTTTTTTGACGTGATCTCTAGACAAGCTCTTTAAGACCCTTTAAAACTTTTTTAAACTCTTACATCAAAAACTTGGCTCCCTTAACTAATATGGTGGAGAAATAAGTAAACTGGGAAAACAGAATTTGTGTTGTTGTTTTGGAAAACTTTCTTGGTTTGATTAGGGAAAGACAAGAAGGAGGTCTTTGAACAATGGCAGAGCTTTCTCCATGGCCAATGCTGAGCATCGTCGTGGCTGAACCATGTAGATCTATCTCAGCAAAATTCGGGGTGACTTGGTAGAGCCCCTGTTCTCAGTGTTCCAAAAACGTAGTATTTGCTTTGTGTGGCTGCGGCCTCGATCCTCCCAGCACATCTTCAGCAATCCCTGATCCCTTTCTTCCCAAGGCTGGTGGACTAGCACAAGCAGGAGCTGCCCCACTGGGACCTCTTTCTCTGCTCAGAAGCCCCATACCCACCGCTTCTCTGATCCCCAATTAAATACAGAAAGGAACCAGTAAGTTTATCTGACACTTAGAAACAAGTGAGTTCTGCCAGATATCTGCATTTGGAGATTTTCATCTGTAAAAGATTAATTTAGAACAAAATGCTTTGCCTCGAGTGAAACAGTTCAGATCATACCAACAACCAGAATTTCATGTCTGAGGCAGAAAGGCCCCTTACGTGGTCCTGAAATCATACTGTTCCCAAGGTTGATGCCACTGGATATGGGTCCACTTAATCTTTCTAGAGGCTAGAAAGGAGGGGGCTGTTGTGGCACCCTGTAAGACCTACACTTTCCCTCCCCATTTCATCCACTGACACTGAGACTCCCACCTGACGTCCCCATAACCCTGCCTTCTTGTTCCTGTCCCTGCCTATCACCCCATCAAATGGGTCTTCTCTCTTCCACACACACATTCAATCAGAGGCCATGAGGGTCAGCAGAGTACTTTTCAAATACTAGCATCTCCAAGAGTGGAGATGCCTGCAGCCTCCTCAGGAACTGTGTGATGTGAGGCTTGGCTAAGCCTGGAGCTGTGGATGGCAATCTTCCTGCGACTGAAGAAAGCCCAAGGGAGAACGGGTGGAAAGTAGAGCAGAGT